TTAATAATAAGAGCAATAGAAAAATGACTTCAGTGTATTCACAAATCATATTAAATTTAATTAATAAACTTTCACATTATTGTCAGGAGGAAAGAGGAGATTAACTGATATAATAAAAATGATATCATAATTATGTTGTTATTTTCTGAATTGGTGATTTAATATCAAGGGTGTTATTGAGGACATTATTGTCTTACCTTCCTGTCAACCACAAGTCACGAACCATTTATTAAAAGAGATTAAAAGAGCCATCAGGCCCTTGTTAAGAGGATCACAGATTAAAGTCAGGTTTTGGGTCATTGGTCCCTAAATGAGCCTCACCAGAGACCCCCTCCCTCAGGGACAACACCAGGACTGTCCGACCCTGGAGGTGATGACCTCCCTTCCCTCTCTTGGTGGAATCCACTCTGGAAGCTCCCTCTAGCCTTCTCAAAGTCAAAATTCCAGTTCAAAGTTCTCACCAGGGCATTTCACCTTTTTTTTTCTGCAAAAATTACCATGTTTTTGGCATTTCCCTTCCTGCCTTTGCTGAGCACGGCGAGAGGTTGTGGCCAGTCCCTGCACAAATGTTTCTGGCTCTAGGGAAGCTCTTCCTGCTCTTTGAGGGCTTTCCAGCCCTTCCCACACTGATCTCCTTTGCTTCCCTTGCTCTCATTGGATCTTGGACTCGATTCCAACCTCTACCAGGTTATTCCCTGCTGCCCCAGAGATCTTGATCTCCACTTCATCTTCTTGTGTCCTCCTTCCCCTCCAAATAAAATTCCTCTGTGGTAGCAGAGTCGTTCCTCCTGCTCTGGAATTCTGTGATCCCCCAGCTGCTTCCTTCCATTCGTGTTTGGGAGCAGCTCCTGATGGAGTAGCCCAGTGATGGGTCCTGTTCCTCCTTACCTGTCCTGTCTGGAGCACCCAGCACTGCTCCTTTCCCTCCCTGCACTCCCTGCCCTGGATCCCACAATTCCAACAGCGTTTCCATCAAACACCGCTGTTCAACAAAGGCAAAGGAAGATATCCCTCACCAAAGTCATTTCCAACCACTTGAGCTCTGCCTGTCCGCACAGGACAAATCCCTCCCATTTAGAGCCTTCCAGATACCCTCCAGTTAGTTTTCTCACCAGAAAACTTCACTATTTATCACAAAGTGTTGAGAATTCATAGAATTCTAAAAATTTCCTGATAGAGGGGTTTTTTCCTGTGGTTTAATAGCAACTTCCAGTCTCACCCACCTCTAGGTCTGTGTGAGGGAAACTCCATCTGGTCTCCCTGTCCCCTAAAGGATGAATGTGGGATCCACTTTGGATTATCTGTATCATTAGGACAAATATATATTCTTGCAGCTGGGAAACCTCAGGCTGAAAATAGGATAGACTTTGGGAGAGTATCAACATTTCACCTCTTGTTCTGCAAAAAACACAAGGTTTTTTGACATTTCTCTCCTTTTTTTTTTTCCTTCTCCAAGTCCTTGCTGCCTTCGCTGACCACAGGGAGAGTTTGTGGTTATTCCAGGGAGGGAGAGGGGGAGAAAAGGAAAGTCTGCGGTCTACAGGCATTTTTATGAGTGTGTCTGTGTCATCCCAGCCCCAGTTCCAAGTGACTGAGGGCCCTATTATGCAGGAACTTTGGCAGCTGGAGATCAAGATCTCTCTCGTGCTCACTTATCTTCTTCATTCGGGCAGTTATTAAATTTAAATACTGGATTTCTTCATGTGCTACTGTATGGCTCTGGCATACTTCTTGAATAGTCAGAAGTGTGTTGATATCCTTATTTATGCACTCTTTTCGGCCAGTGGGGCTTGCAAAGATCCTTCATTTGTATTTAGGATCTGGTTTTCCAAGACACTCTCAGGATTTCAGTAATTTTAGGTTTTGTGTTTTCCATAGTTCTTTTCCCCCCCCTTTTCTTTTAGTTCTTTCTATTTTCTGAAGAGTTTATGGCTGCCTCATCTGGAGGTGCTCAAGAACAGGTTGGATGGGGCTTGGAGTGATCTGGTCTGGTGGAAGGGAGACCCTGGAGCCCCTTCCAGTGCCTTAAGGGGCTCCAGGAGAGCTGGAGAGGGACTGGGGACAAGAGCCTGGAGAGAAAAGACAAGGGGGAATGGCTTCCCACTGCCAGAGGGCAGGGATAGATGCAATATTGGGAAGAAATTCCTCCCAGAGGGGGTGGTGAGGCCCTGGAATGGATTTCCCAGAGGATGCTCCATTCCTGGAAGTGTCCAAGGCCAAGTTGGACAGGGCTTGGAGCTCCCTGGGATAATGGAAGGTGTCCCTGCCCATGGCAGAACTGGATGAGCTTTAAGGTCCCTCCCAACCATTCCATGACCTTATTTTGAGCTGATTTAGATGATCCTGTGGGAATGTTGAGGCATCTCCTTGAGCATCAGACTGAGAACTGGGATTTATTAGTCCATTTTAGGGTTTGAGTTGAAGGTGGACAGAAGTGGATGAGGGTGATGGAGTTTGGCAGGTTGTGCTCAAAAATCTCCAGTTTGGGTCTGTCTTTAAATTTCTGGAAGTTTCCAACATGTCCATCCTGGTGCTCTTCTGGTTCCCTCATTGTCCACAAAAAGTCACACCCATGTCACTGTCTCAGAGTCTTTTCCAGGCGGGAGGAACTTTCCTACCTTCCCCACCTGCCCCAGGTACTGCTTTGGATGGGCAGGACAACACAGGGCCCTCAGCCCCTGCTCCAACAGCTGCACAAGGTGCCCAGGCAGGCAATTTTAATGGATCAAGTTTTGGGATGCAATTTAAACTTATCCTTAAAATCCCAAGACAAAGAGCCAGGTTGACCCTGTGGTTGTAACACCCTGGTCCGATGAAAATCCATCTCCCTGGGACGGATGATGGATGAACCTGTGATCCCTTTGTCCCAGCTGTGTCAGAAAGAAGAGGGAATGACAGGAAGCTCCCCTTTCTTCCACAGGATGCGTAGACATCTCTTGGGATGCATCCCTGTTTCTGGAGCCAGCTTGACAGGTCCAGGTGTGGTTGGGATGTGCTGCCAAGGCTGATCCGGTGTCAGCTGCGATCACAACAGCTGCCCACACTCTGGGTTACGGCATGTGGGGTGGGATGGCTGCTCTCTTTGCTTGGGCTCTGGGCTCCAGCTGCTACAGAAAGCTCAGAATTCACACCTGGTTCACTTCAGCTGCTGCACAGGGCAGGATTTTGGGATGGGCTGTCTCTCACAGGTGTTCCACTCTCTGGGGTCACATCACTTCCTTCCATGATCCATGGGGATTACCTGGAGTGTTGCCCAGTGCAGCTCTGGGATGAGGCACTTGCAAAGTGAGAAGAGGAGGGGTGGAGAGGGGAATCGCACTGGAGCCAGCACCAGCCCTTCTGAATCACAGAATCATTTAGGTTGGGATCATCAGGTCCAATGATTTCCTTGGCACTGCCTAGGCCACCATGGACTGTGTCCCCAAGTGCCACATCTGCACATTTCTTGGACACTTCCAGGGATGAGGACTCCACCCCTGTCCTGGGTAGCTGTGCTGGGGCTAGACAACCTTTTCCAGGAAGGAATTTCCCCCTATTTCCAACCTAAACCTGGCACCATTTGAGGCCATATCATCTCATTCTGTCACTCATAACCTGGGAGAAGAGTCAGACCCCACCTGGCTCCAACCTTTCCAGTCTCCTTTGGGAATTCCCTCCCCTCTCCCCTTCTCTTAAAATACTGGTAATTGCACCATTTTAAAATGTTCATTGTAATTAATTCCTGCAGGAGACAGAATTCTCAATCCAAGTCAGAATTTTTTACAGGTTTATAAAAAGGGGGAAATCAGCTGGAAATATGGTTGAATTTCTGCAGGAAATGTTGATAATGAGTAAAATTTAATTACAAAACTAGCACAAAAGGGAGATCTGAGATACCAGTTTGGCTTTTCCTGGTGTAAGGTGAGGTAGGGGATTTTGGTAGGGAAAAGTGGATTTCTCAGCTGTTTTCCTGGAAAACACTGTGTTTCCAGGTGAGAAAAGTGTCTGAGCATCCAAAGTCTTGTCCATCTTGAAATAATCCAGCTGTTTTAATAACCTCCAGCTACAACCCCCTAATTTAGGGAGTTTATGAGGCACTTTCCAAATGGAGCCAGGATTGCACAGCCCTGACCACAGAACCTCTATGTGTAGTGGATTCTCAGCCTGGTTTCGTCCAGCTCCTTTGGGAGGAAGAGAATCCTGCCAGGTGAAGTCCAGCTCCTCCTAAAGTCATGTAAGGGTCAGAGAGGAGGTTCTACCCATGGGGATGTGGTTCCAGAGGTGGTTTTGGAGGAACTACATCTTGGTTATTTTTCAAGAAATTAACCCAGGCTGGAGCCTCCAAGTGGTGCTGCCAGCAGTGGGATTTGGCTCCCAAATGCTTTTCCCTTTTCCAGCATTTAGTCCATAGCTACTAAATGCTGGAGAGGTGGAGTCTGGCACAGAGATGGGGAGAGGGATGGATCCTCCCTGTGAGAAGCAAAAGTTGCTCCTGGGATATTCTGAGAAAGAGAGAAGGACAGGAATGGGAAACAAAGGGTGCAGCAGGTGCTCCTGGTGATGTAGTGAAGGGTCAGACACCCCCAAGAACCATCAAAGTCCTGTGCCCCTTAAAATTCCAAAAGAGGTGGGGAAATATGGGGGAGAATGAGCTGTGGGGATGAGCAGGGGTAACTGTAATTACGGATGGAGGTTAATGAGATAAGGACATCCGTCAGCAAAGCTCATGAGTCAGGCAGGATTTGGGGAATTTCATAACTGCCCCACTGGTGCTGGTGTTTATCTGACCTCTCTGGGCAGCCATTAATTGCTGCCTGATGAACCAAACCCAATAACAACATTAGAGACCTGCTAATTACTACGGAATGGAGATGAGCTCCTCCAGAACGTATAAAGGAGAACTTCCATACTCCTCTGGAGTAGCTGAGGATCCTTCATTCTCATTTCTCCTCCTGTTTTACCAACTTCTACGTCAGCTCTCCCACCTGGAAGTGCTGCCATGAGACGATATTTCTCCGGATATGGGGATGGGAGTTTCAGTTCTTCTTCTGCTCATTGTGGGACCTTGGGTGGTGGAGATGGGAGATTCGGAGGTTTTGGGCATGGGTATGGCAGCAGGAGCCTCCACAACCTTGGAGGGTTCAGGAATGTCTATACTGGTGGAAGCTACGGAGGAGAAGGAGTAAGATATGGGAGATGCCTTGGGTTTGGTGGCTGGAGACAGGCTGAGAGGGGCTTTGGTGGAAGAGGATGTTTCGTGGGAGGTTTTCAAGTTGGTGGCACCTACAGAGGAGGTCCAGGCAGGGAGGTACTCAGAGGAGGCCTTGGCACAGGGGTGCAAGGGGCTGGGCAGGAATTGGGACAGGCTGGAGTTCTCCGAGGCATTGGGGAAGTCCATGTGGACACCAACCTGCTGAGGCCAATACGGCTCCAGGTGGACCCTGAGTTCCAGCGAGTGCGCTCGGATGAGAGGGAGCAGATCAAAGCTCTCAACAACAAATTTGCTTCATTCATCGAGAAGGTGAGTCCTGGTCTCTGTACTGTTATCTGGAAAGGGGGAGGTGAAAGGTAGGAGTGAGTCATGGGGACACCTTCATGTTCCATCTTCTCCCCCCAAAAAATCCCAGCACTGGCTGAATTCCCAATGGTGCTGTGAAGCTCACAATGGGTCCCTGTAAACGTTGCTCTGTGAATCACTTTTTGCCTTGGGGTAAAGATCTCAGAGTTGTCTTTTGTGGCAGGACAGTAAACTGCCGAGATGTCACCAGCACATAGACTCACTCTTCTTTTGAGGAAAGGGGTTTCTGGGAATATATATTCCTATATTCTGGTGCCTGGAGGTTGCTGATGCCAGCAGAAAAAGTGGGTGAGGGACAGACATCTTGATGAGTTAGTATTTTTTTTCTCAAGCAAAGCCAAACCTTGCAAGAACAGGCTGTTTTAGTGCCTTTCTTGCAGGGGTTTGTACTTACCAGAAATTGCAAGTGAATTCAGTTTCTCTGAATTATTAAACAAATCACTTGGTTTGGAAGCCTTGCCCTCTACTAGGTGGTCAATCTTCAGCTTTTTCATTACTTTCTATCTCTCCAGTTTTGTCTTCTCTTCTGCATCTACTCAAACCAGCCACAAAAGCTCTTCCATCCCGCTGGTATCTGGGAGGTGTCTCTGTCTCTGCTTCTCTCTTTTACATGTGGGGACTTCAGGGTTTCCTATTTCACTGGACAGGATGTGTTGGTTAAACTGAGGAGATTTAAGATTGCATAGTCCTGAAAAATTAGCATGTCTGTGACTCTTCTTTCCCTCCTAAACTTTTGGGTGTCCAGGTTATCACCTGGTCAATATTATAGAAATCGTGGAGTGATTTGGGTTGAGAGCGACCTTAAAGCTCATCCAGTTCTGCCATAGGCAGGAACAAATTCTACTAGACCACTCTGCTCCATGCCCCATCCAACCTGGCCTTGGACACTTCCAGGAAAGGAGCATCCTCTGGGAAATCCATTCCAGGGCCTCACCACCCCCTCTGGGAGGAATTTCTTCCCAATATTGCATCTATCCCTGCCCTCTGGCAGTGGGAAGCCATTCCCCCTTGTCTTTTCTCTCCAGGCTCTTGTCCCCAGTCCCTCTCCAGCTCTCCTGGAGCCCCTTTAGGCACTGGAAGGGGCTCCAGGGTCTCCTTTCCCTTCTCCTCTCCAGGTGAGCACCCCCAGCTCTCCCAGCCTGTCTCCATGGCAGAGATGCCCACTGGAGACATGCAGCCCCTCTGGATCTGCTTCATCTTCCAGGTTCAATGTCTGGAGCGGCAGAATCAGGCACTCTTGGCCAAGTGGGAACTTCTGCAGCAGCAAAGCTCTGGCCCTGAGGAGAGCAGGAACATCAACAACTTCTTCCAGGCCTACATCACCAACCTGCAGCGACAGCTCGAGACGCTCCAGAGCCAGAAGGAGCAGCTGGATCCTGAGGCCTACAACATGCTCCGGCTTGTTGAGGATTATAAAAACAGGTGAATAGTCACAAATCTGGGAAAACAGGTGCTAGGATTTTCCTAGGTGATGCTCATTGTGCCCTTGGATGGCAAAGCTCAACTTTGCATCTGCAGGACTTTGGAGTTTCTTAGCCCTGCTCCGCTTCAGGTGCATTATGGGGCTTGACTTTACTGCTGGAGGAGTTTGGTAAGGGTTGAACTCCCAAAAATGAGAGGAAAACCAAAGTTTGTGATGATCTCTCCCATGCTTTTTCCTTCCCAGACTCTTCCTTTTCTTTCTTCCCCCTAGCAGTGAGTGACCCAAGATTCCACTCGCGGGGCCCTGGTGGGAAGGGACAGAGCTGAGCTTGGAGTCAAGCTGGGAAGAGTTGTCACCTTTTCTGGCTTAGATAATTTATGTCCACCCACAGATCTGAAAAATGGAAAGTTTAGTTCAGAATTACTAAATTTAGAAGTGATCTGTATTGACCCCATTTTTTGGGCTGTTTTAGTGCCTCTTTTTGCAGAGGAGAAAATTTCTGGGACTTGCCAGAAATTGTAATTAAAGTAAAATGAAAACTCAACACATTCAGTCTTTGGTTGATTCTATTGTTTACTGGTCCACCTGACTTAACAATTAATATCAATAATTAAAGGTAATGGATAGATTAATTAAATAGATTAATTAATAATAGATAATAGATAATAGATAATAATCTAACTCCTTCTGTCCCCCAGATTCGAGGATGAGATCGACAAACGCACATCCAAGGAGGAGGAGTTTGTGGAGCTTAAAAAGGTGAATTAACCTGAGATCCTGAGCAAATCAAAGCCTTAGAAATAAAAGCATATCTGGATGGTTGCCAAGGTTCTCAAAAGCTGAAGTTTTTATTGAGCTTTGTTTAATTTTAACCAAAGTAAATGAAAACCAGAACAAGACTGAGGATGGATTATTTCCTCTAGAGAATGAATCAGTCCTTTGTAGGACAAATATCTAAAAAGTGCTGGTTTTTCCCTATTCACTCAATCCCAGTCCAGGTGGAATATTGTCATTAAGTTAAATAATATCTGTAGATGGCTTAGAAAAATAAAACTATCTGTGAAAAGAAAATTTAGGCAACTTTTTACTAGAAGTATGAATAAAAATTGTGTTTAGCCATTTCTCATGTTCCCCAGAAATGGATTTATTGCTGCAGCTGTGGTACTCATTTCCCAGCCAATTTTTTAATCTTAAATGCTTTCCCTTTGTTCCTCTTGCTTTTCAAATGAAATCTGAGATCTCTAGGCCACTATTTGATCCCAGGAATGAAGGCTTTATGGAAATATCCCAAGAATTGCACTTCAGTGGAGCATTTGGGTCAACAACATGCAAATATATTACAATATTTTTTGGGTTTTTTTACAGGAACTGGATAGTGCCTACATGGGAAAAATGGAGTTTGATGTCCGAGTGGATATCCTGAGGCAGGAGCTGGAGTTCCTCCGGTGTTTATACGAAGCTGTGAGTGATTCAAATCTTACCCTCAGGTCTTGAAGGACACACCTTCTGGAGATTCTCAGAAATTTTGTTTGGGTGGGATTTTTTGGCTTGGAGAATTAATTATCCTTGGCCTTTTGTGAGTGAAAAAGGGTCTGGTGTGTCCCAAAGGCTAGAAGACCTTGCAAATTACAAGTGCTGGGGGTACAGTGGTACCTGGGGGCTGCAGGTGGAGAAATTCCAGTGGGAAATTGGCCACAAAGTCCCATTTTTTCCTCATAAAGACCTGGACTGACCACAAGGACTGTTAAAATCCCTAATCTGGTTTTCCCTGCAGGAGCTGTCCCAGCTGCAAACGGTTGTTGAGAACGTTGACGTTGTTCTGTCCATGGACAACCACAGGGACTTGAACATGGATGGGATCATCGAGGAGGTCAGGCGGGAATATGAGGGGATAGCCCACAGGAGCACAGCTGAAGTGGATGCCATGTACCGGGGCAGGGTGAGTGCACACCAGGGAAACAGGAATACAAATCTCCTCATTGGAAAAGAAGCCAAAAATGTGTTGTGTCCTCTTCCCATCAGTACCAGGACCTGCAGAACATGTGGGTGAGTCAACAAGAGCAGCTGAAGAACAGTCACCAGGAAATCCAGGAACTTGCCAGGCACATCCAACGACTCCAACCAGAAATTGAAATCGCAAGGAAAAGGGTAAAGCTGATACTTTCCAGCCTGACTAAATGGCTTAAGCCCCTTTTCAATGGGATCTCAGTGCAGTATGTAGCAGCCAGTTGTTTGGAGGCAAATGTAGGGATGGAGTTTTCTCTTCCAATTGAAGCAGATTTAGATTTTTGGGACCTATATTGGGGTTTAATTGCATTTATTTACCCAGTCAACTGTGTTTTTGCTGTTCTGTCACTGAGAAAAGCCTTTTGATTTCCAAGGAATGGCAGGAGGGTGTGAAAATTATGGGACTTGGGGGTTTTCCTGTGCTGGGATAGGAGTTGGACTTGATGATTCCTGTGGTTCCCTCCTGATAATGGATATTCCATGATTCTGTTATAAAATCCTCCCCACAGATGGGACATGGTCACGTTCCCTTTGTTCCTTCTGCAGAATTCCAGCCTCCAGGACTCCATTAAAGATGCTGAGCACCGTGGGAGCTCGGCCGTCAGGGATGGCCAGGAAAAGCTAGAGGAGCTGGAAAATGCCCTCCAACAGGCCAAGGATGACCTTTCTCAGCTTGTCCGTGATTACCAGGAGCTCCTGAATGTGAAGCTGGGCCTGGACATTGAGATCGCCATGTATCGCTCACTCCTCGAGGAGGAGGAGAACAGGTTGGGGCAAAATCCATCCTGGGTGAAACACCCAGACAAAGCAGCATGTCCATGGATCTGTCACTGGGATCTCTGGGATGCACTGGCCCTGGGAGGAGTTGCCTTTCTGCAGATCACTGATAAAGCCTAACCTGAATTTTAATTCTGGTTTTATTGGCTGCCTTACCTCAATGTCACTTTTCCTCCACAGGATCCAGGAAGGATCACCAGCCACGATCTGTGAGTATCCCAAGGATTTTCTCAGGGTTTTTCACAGGAAACTCTTCCTACTTTGTGGTCTTGACACCATTGGAACAAACTATCCCAGTTCCCATCTTAATTTAGGAAAGGATGCAAAGGGGAGTTTGTGAACACACATTAATGTAACAAGTGGCTTTAGAATTATTGGCTAATTCCTAATAAATTTGGAGGAAATGGGAAATACCGCCTTTAACCCATAGGTCTTTTTGATGCAGGGCAGAAGGGAAGGAAATAAAAACTAGTCCTAAAATTCGTGGGAAAATTGAGGAAGCTGAAGGAGAGAGAAAAACAGTTTTGGCCTTTGTAAAGAATAGGCTGCACTGAGTGTTCATGGGTGAAATAAGAGATAAATGATGTTTAAAAAAAATCTAAAAATCACAGAAAATTGAGAAAATATTCCATACGTTGATGTCTACTCAGGGAGATTCTTGTTGGCCCCTTCAAAGATAAGTCCATGACCACCAGGGTAGGAAGGATGATGCTTAAATCAGCCCCGCTCAGAATTTTTTGGGGTAAAAACGAATAAATTAAATGTAATTTCCATTTCTTCCAGGTGTCATTGACCACAGTGCCAGAGTTTCTGGAGTCTTTGGAGGCATAAAAAGTGGGAAGGGTGTAATGAGTTCCAGTGGTAGCAGTGGGAGCAGAACGAAAGGGCCAGTCACTGGAGGGGGAAAAGGTGGAAGCTCTGGAGGGTGGGGATCCAGCTCTGGTGGTGGTGGTTCCATCTCTGGAGGTGGAAAAGGTGGAAGCTCTGGAGGGTGGGGATCCATCTCTGGTGGTGGTGGTTCCATCTCTGGAGGAGGAAAAGGCTCAGGATCTGGAGGAGGAGGAAGCTCAGGCAGTGGAGGCTCCATCTGTGGAGGAGGAGGAAGCTCTGGCAGTGGAGGCTCCATGTCCAAGGGTGGCAGCAGTTCTGGAGGGTGGGGATCCAGCTCTGGTGGTGGTGGTTCCATGTCTGGAGGAGGAAAAGGCTCAGGATCTGGAGGAGGAGGAAGCTCAGGCAGTGGAGGCTCCATCTGTGGAGGAGGAGGAAGTTCAGGTGGTGGAGGTTCCATGTCCAAGGGAGGCAGCAGCTCTGGAGGGTGGGGGTCTAGCTCTGGTGGTGGTGGTTCCATGTCTGGAGGAGGAAAAGGCTCAGGATCTGGAGGAGGAGGAAGCTCAGGCAGTGGAGGCTCCATTTGTGGAGGAGGAGGAAGCTCTGGCAGTGGAGGCTCCATGTCCAAGGGTGGCAGCAGCTCTGGAGGGTGGGGATCCAGCTCTGGTGGTGGTGGTTCCATGTCTGGAGGAGGAAAAGGCTCAGGATCTGGAGGAGGAAGCTCAGGCAGTGGAGGCTCCATCTGTGGAGGAGGAGGAAGTTCAGGTGGTGGAGGTTCCATGTCCAAGGGAGGCAGCAGCTCTGGAGGGTGGGGATCCAGCTCTGGTTCCATGTCTGGAGGCGGAAAAGGCTCAGGATCTGGAGGAGGAGGAAGCTCAGGCAGTGGAGGCTCCATCTGTGGAGGAGGAGGAAGTTCAGGTGGTGGAGGTTCCATGTCCAAGGGAGGCAGCAGCTCTGGAGGGTGGGGATCCAGCTCTGGTTCCATGTCTGGAGGCGGAAAAGGCTCAGGATCTGGAGGAGGAGGAAGCTCAGGCAGTGGAGGCTCCATCTGTGGAGGAGGAGGAAGTTCAGGTGGTGGAGGTTCCATGTCCAAGGGAGGCAGCAGCTCTGGAGGGTGGGGGTCCAGCTCTGGTTCCATGTCTGGAGGAGGAAAAGGCTCAGGATCTGGAGGAGGAGGAAGCTCAGGCAGTGGAGGCTCCATTTGTGGAGGAGGAGGAAGTTCAGGTGGTGGAGGTTCCATGTCCAAGGGAGGCAGCAGCTCTGGAGGGTGGGGGTCTAGCTCTGGTGGTGGTGGTTCCATGTCTGGAGGAGGAAAAGGCTCAGGATCTGGAGGAGGAGGAAGCTCAGGCAGTGGAGGCTCCATTTGTGGAGGAGGAGGAAGCTCTGGCAGTGGAGGCTCCATGTCCAAGGGTGGCAGCAGTTCTGGAGGGTGGGGATCCAGCTCTGGTGGTGGTGGTTCCATGTCTGGAGGAGGAAAAGGCTCAGGATCTGGAGGAGGAAGCTCAGGCAGTGGAGGCTCCATCTGTGGAGGAGGAGGGAGTTCAGGTGGTGGAGGTTCCATGTCCAAGGGAGGCAGCAGCTCTGGAGGGTGGGGATCCAGCTCTGGTTCCATGTCTGGAGGCGGAAAAGGCTCAGGATCTGGAGGAGGAGGAAGCTCAGGCAGTGGAGGCTCCATCTGTGGAGGAGGAGGAAGTTCAGGTGGAGGAGGCTCCATGTCCAAGGGAGGCAGCAGCTCTGGAGGGTGGGGATCCAGCTCTGGTTCCATGTCTGGAGGAGGAAAAGGCTCAGGATCTGGAGGAGGAAGCTCAGGCAGTGGTGGTTCCATGTCCGGAGGTGGGCAGAGCTCCGGTGGTCACGGATCTGGCTCCAGTAGCAGCAGATGCAGCCCCCAAAGTGGAGGCATGAGCTCTGGAGGTGGGAGCAGTTCTAGCAGGAGAGGTTCTATGTCTGGAGGTGGCCAGAGCTCTGGTGGTCACGGATCTGGCTCTGGCAGTGGCAGATGCAGCCCCCAAAGTGGGGGGATGAGTTCTGGAGGAGGGAATAGCTCTGGGAGGGGAGGCTCCATGTCTGGAGGTGGACGACAGGGAAGTTCATGTCATGAAGGTTCCATGTCTGGAGGTGGCCAGACTGCTGGAGGATGGGGGTCCAGCTCTGGCAGCTGCAGCCCCCAAAGTGGGGGGATGAGCTCTGGAGGTGGGAGCAGCTGTGGCAGGAGACCATCCATGTCAGGAGGTGGCCAGAGCTCCGGTAGTCATGGATCTGGCTCTGGGAGTGGCAGATGCAGCCCCCAAAGTGGGGGCATGAGCTCTGGAGGTGGGAGCAGCTCTGGCAGGAGACCATCCATGTCTGGAGGTGGCCAGAGCTCTGGTGGTCACGGATCTGGCTCTGGCAGTGGCAGATGCAGCCCCCAAAGTGGGGGGATGAGCTCTGGAGGTGGGAGCAGTTCTGGCAGGAGAGGCTCCATGTCTGGAGGTGGCCAGAGCTCTGGTGGTCACGGATCTGGCTCTGGCAGTGGCAGATGCAGCCCCCAAAGTGGGGGGATGAGCTCTGGAGGTGGGAGCAGTTCTGGCAGGAGAGGCTCCATGTCTGGAGGTGGCCAGAGCTCTGGTGGTCACGGATCTGGCTCTGGCAGTGGCAGATGCAGCCCCCAAAGTGGGGGGATGAGCTCTGGAGGTGGGAGCAGTTCTGGCAGGAGAGGCTCCATGTCTGGAGGTGGCCAGAGCTCTGGTGGTCAGGGATCTGGCTCTGGCAGTGGCAGATGCAGCCCCCAAAGTGGGGGGATGAGCTCTGGAGGTGGGAGCAGCTGTGGCAGGGGAGGGTCCATGTCTGGAGGTGGAGGACAAGGAAGCTCTGGAAGGGGACCATCCACGTCTGGAGGTGGTCACAGCTCTGGTGGATATGGATCAGGCTCTGGCAGCTGCAGCCCCCATAGTGGGGGAATGAGCTCTGGAAGCTGGAGTGGCTCTGGCAGGAGAGGCTCCATGTCTGGAGGCGGAGGAAGTTCAGGTCATGGTGGATCCAGCTATGGCAGTGGTGGGTCCATCTGTGGGGGTGAAGGAGGCTCAGGGTATGGAGGAGGAAGCTCTGTTAGGAGAGGCTCCATGTCTGGTGGTGGGGAAGGAGGAGGAAGCTCAGGCTATGGTGGATCCACTTATGGCAGTGGCGGCTGCACTGGTGGAGGAGAAGGGGGTTCAGGGTACGGAGGAGGGTCAGGCAGGAGAGGCTCCATATCTGGAGGTGGTCACAGCTCTGGTGGATATGGATCAGGCTCTGGCAGCTGCAGCCCCCACAGTGGGGGAATGAGCTCTGGAGGTTGGAGCAGTTCTGGCAGGAGAGGCTCCATGTCTGGAGAAGGAGGAAGCTCAAGTCATGGAGGATCCAGTTATGGCAGCGGTGGGTGCATTGGTGGAGGAGAAGGGGGCTCAGGGTATGGAGGAAGCTCAGGATATGGAGGCTCTGGCAGGAGAGGCTCCATGTCTGGAGGTGGTCACAGCTCTGGTGGGTTGGGATCGGGCTCTGGCAGTGGCAGCTGCAGCCCCCACAGTGGGGGAATGAGCTCTGGAGGTTGGAGCAGTTCTGGCAGGAGAGGCTCCATGTCTGGAGAAGGAGGAAGCTCAGGTCATGGAGGATCCAGTTATGGCAGTGGTGGGTGCATTGGTGGAGGAGAAGGGGGTTCAGGCTATGGAGGGAGCTCAGGCAGGAGAGGCTCCATGTCTGGAGGTGGTCACAGCTCTGGTGGATATGGATCAGGCTCTGGCAGCTGCAGCCCCCACAGTGGGGGAATGAGCTCTGGAGGTTGGAGCAGTTCTGGCAGGAGAGGCTCCATGTCTGGAGAAGGAGGAAGCTCAAGTCATGGAGGATCCAGTTATGGCAGTGGTGGGTGCATTGGTGGAGGAGAAGGGGGTTCAGGCTATGGAGGGAGCTCAGGATATGGAGGTGGCTCTGGCAGGAGAGGCTCCATGTCTGGAGGTGGTCACAGCTCTGGTGGGTTGGGATCAGGCTCTGGCAGTGGTGGGAGCAGTTCTGGAGGAGGAACCAGCTCTGGGTATGGAGGAAGCTCAGGCAGTGGGGGATCAAGCTCTGGGTGCATTGCTGGAGGTGAAGGGGGCTCAGGGTATGGAGGAGGAAGCTCTGTTAGGAGAGGCTCCATGTCTGGTGGTGGGGAAGGAGGAGGAAGCTCAGGCTATGGTGGATCCACTTATGGCAGCAGTGGCTGCACTGGTGGAGGAGAAGGGGGCTCAGGGTACGGAGGAGGGTCAGGCAGGAGAGGCTCCATGTCTGGAGGTGGTCACAGCTCTGGTGGATATGGATCAGGCTCTGGCAGCTGCAGCCCCCACAGTGGGGGAATGAGCTCTGGAGGTTGGAGCAGTTCTGGCAGGAGAGGCTCCATGTCTGGAGAAGGAGGAAGCTCAAGTCATGGAGGATCCAGTTATGGCAGTGGTGGGTGCATTGGTGGAGGAGAAGGGGGTTCAGGCTATGGAGGGAGCTCAGGATATGGAGGTGGCTCTGGCAGGAGAGGCTCCATGTCTGGAGGTGGTCACAGCTCTGGTGGATATGGATCAGGCTCTGGCAGCTACAGCCCCCACAGTGGGGGAATGAGCTCTGGAAGCTGGAGTGGCTCTGGCAGGAGAGGCTCCATGTCTGGAGGTGGTCACAGCTCTGGTGGGTTGGGATCGGGCTCTGGCAGCAGTGGGAGCAGTTCTGGAGGAGGAATTAGCTCTGGGTATGGAGGAAGCTCAGGCAGTGGAGGATCAAGCTCTGGGTGCATTGGTGGAGGAGAAGGAGGCTCAGGGTATGGAGGTAGCTCAGGCAGGAGAGGCTCCATGTCTGGAGGCGGAGGAAGTTCAGGTCATGGTGGATCCAGCTATGGCAGTGGTGGGTGCATTGGTGGGGGAGAAGGAGGCTCAGGGTATGGAGGAGGAAGCTCTGTTAGGAGAGGCTCCATGTCTGGTGGTGGGGAAGGAGGAGGAAGCTCAGGCTATGGTGGATCCACTTATGGCAGTGGCGGCTGCACTGGTGGAGGAGAAGGGGGTTCAGGGTACGGAGGGAGCTCAGGGTATGGAGGAAGCTCAGGCAGGAGAGGCTCCATGTCTGGAGGTGGTCACAGCTCTGGTGGATATGGATCAGGCTCTGGCAGCTGCAGCCCCCACAGTGGGGGAATGAGCTCTGGAGGTTGGAGCAGTTCTGGCAGGAGAGGCTCCATGTCTGGAGAAGGAGGAAGCTCAAGTCATGGAGGATCCACTTATGGCAGTGGTGGGTGCATTGGTGGAGGAGAAGGGGGTTCAGGCTATGGAGGGAGCTCAGGATATGGAGGCTCTGGCAGGAGAGGCTCCATGTCTGGAGGTGGTCACAGCTCTGGTGGGTTGGGATCGGGCTCTGGCAGTGGCAGCTGCAGCCCCCACAGTGGGGGAATGAGCTCTGGAGGTTGGAGCAGTTCTGGCAGGAGAGGCTCCATGTCTGGAGGTGGTCACAGCTCTGGTGGATATGGATCAGGCTCTGGCAGCGGTGGGAGCAGTTCTGGAGGAGGAATTAGCTCTGGGTATGGAGGAAGCTCAGGCAGTAGAGTATCAAGCTCTGGGTGCATTGCTGGAGGAGAAGGGGGCTCAGGGTACGGAGGAGGGTCAGGCAGGAGAGGCTCCATGTCTGGAGGTGGTCACAGCTCTGGTGGATATGGATCAGGCTCTGGCAGCTGCAGCCCCCATAGTGGGGGAATGAGCTCTGGAAGCTGGAGTGGCTCTGGCAGGAGAGGCTCCATGTCTGGAGGCGGAGGAAGTTCAGGTCATGGTGGATCCAGCTATGGCAGTGGTGGGTCCATCTGTGGGGGTGAAGGAGGCTCAGGGTATGGAGGAGGAAGCTCTGTTAGGAGAGGCTCCATGTCTGGTGGTGGGGAAGGAGGAGGAAGCTCAGGCTATGGTGGATCCACTTATGGCAGTGGCGGCTGCACTGGTGGAGGAGAAGGGGGTTCAGGGTACGGAGGAGGGTCAGGATATGGGGGAGTATCTGGGTTTGGTGGAGTTTCAGGGTATGGAGGAGGAAGCTCAGGCAGGAGAGCATCAATCTCTGGAGGTGGAAGCTCCTCTGGAGTTTGGGGATCGAGCTCTGCTGGCACTTGCAGCCCTGGCAGTGGGGGGGAAGGAGGTTGGGATTGCTCTGGAGGGGACAGTTATTATGGGGGAGGGACCTGTGAATATGGGACACCCAGCTGCAGAGATAAGACTGAGGAATGCCTGTCAGGAGCAGAGTGGTCTTCTCCAAGCCCAGGTTACTGGTCTGGCTATGGAAGCAGCTCAGGTTCCCCTGGAGATGCTGCCCACAAGTAAAACTTGGATGGAAAATCTCACCAGTGGAACAGGATGAAGTTGTCCCCCCTCATTGTCGGGGGCAATGGGACTTTCCTGCTGTCACCACTGGTCTGGACGTGCTGTGCATCATCCTGAGCTCTCCCTGCACAACCATCCCTGGACTTTCTAGGGATCCCACTCCTCTGCTGGATGCTGATATTGTGATGGTGTCCCTTCCTTGGGCTTTCTCAGGGCTTTTAATCTCAGGCTGTGTGGAACTTTTATCTTTGGCAACTAAAAGCTTGAAACCCTGTCTGATGTGTTTGTTTTGGTCTTGGGGAGGGCAGGACTCTGATGTGTCTGATGAGACATTTGATAGAACTTTCTATATAAATGAACTAATGGAAATCTGATCCAACCACAGAAAAAAGCTTCTGGAAAAAGTTAAAAAGTGGAAGAAAGTGGCTGGAAAAGAATGACAAATGCAGATTGTCTGCTGTAAAAATAGGGTTTAGGGCCAAGTCCTTTGTGTCTGGTCTGGCCAGTCAGCCAGGACTCATGGCTACACCTCAGATCCATCATTCCCTCCAGGAGTCACTCATTAAATAACTTGGGGGCAGATCC